GCGGACTTTAAGTAAAGTGGACAATTTCGGGATCTTTGACAGCCCTCAATCTGCGGTACCTAATATACATGATATGTTTCGAGTCGATTCTATCTACATATTTTGTGAAGATAAGTCAAAGCATGCACAGTGGACAAAAGACTGGCCAAAAGTAAAGGGTGTATTTACTGAAATCGATTCTATTTATGATGCACTTGAAAGTGATACACATCAATGTGACCGTGATTCGACTACAGTTTGTGTAACAAGTGGAGATTTGAATCGTCTCAATCCATCATTTATGTATACACAACTGCTCAAAGAAACTCTTATCGACATGGCACATGACGAAGAGGAAAAGAAAGAACTTGCTGACTTTTGTCGACAGCAGTATCATGAAAATCTGACTGAGTTAAAAATTATTGATGAGTTTGACCAAGATTACCACGAAAACACAGCTTTATGGTGGTACACTCGTGAATGTTTCACCTATAAGATGCTCAACCGAGCTCTGCGAATGCAAGAAGTCGAAAATATCCTTAAGATGGGCTTCTTTCTACGTGATGTTCATAGAAACATTGTAGAATTACATTCAAAAACAGTACACGATAGTCCCTTCAATGTCTATCGAGGTCAAAGTTTGCCGTACGCCGATTTTACCAAGATCAAACAGAATAAAGGCGGTTTGTTGGCATTCAACAATTTTTTATCTACAAGTCTCAATGAAGATGTCTCATTAGTATTTAGCCGAAATTCGTTACACAATCCCGATGCGATAGGAATACTCTTCAAAATGTTCATCGATCCATCGACTTCTTCAGCTCCATTCGCTTCGCTAAAGAGAGTAAGTGCTTATGAAAATGAAGAAGAAATTCTATTCTCTATGCACACTGTATTTCGAATCGTTGAAATCAAACAATTGGAAGACTTGGTGTGGCAAGTAGATCTCGTCTTGACCGCTGATAACGACGAAGAACTTAAAGAACTCACTGAACATATACGAAAAGAAACACGGGAATTAACACCACGGAATCGACTGGGTCAAATACTATTTCGCATGGGAAATTTCAATGAGGCGGAAGGACTCTATCTAGCACTGTGCGAAAGAACATCAAACGACAATGAGACCGAGCTTTCCGAATATTATTATTGGCTTGGAAGAATCAAAAATGCTCAAGGAGATAATACAGAGGCACTGCATTTCTGTGAAGAGTCACTTGAACTCAGACAAAACTGTGTGCCACCGAATCATTTAGCTTTGGCTGCCTCTTACAGCAGTACTGCTTCCGTGTATAACAACATAGGAGAGTACTCGAAAGCACTCAAGTTATCCGAAAAGTCTCTTGAAATTAGACAAAAATTGCTGCCGCCAAATCATCCAGATTTGGCTGGTTCTTACAACGCCATCGCTTCTGTATATGATAACATGGGAGAGTACTCGAAAGCACTCGAATTATACCAGATGTCACTTGAAATTAGACAAAAATCTTTGCCACCGAATCATCCAGATTTGGCTGCCTATTACAACAACATTGCTTCCGTATATCAGAGCATGGGAGAGTACTCGAAAGCATCCGAGTTATTCGACAAGTCACTTGAAATTCAAGAAAAAACTCTGCCACCAGATCATCCAGCTCCGAGTACTTTCAGTTTTACACGCTGAATCAGAAAAAAAGACTGACAATTGTACGCAGAAGTAGAACAACATTTCAACTTTTTCTATATTCAAGTGTTTTTCGACTCTTGAGAGATTCTGCACGTATTATATTTTAATCTATTGCATTCGAAGCTTGTCTGTGGCTTTTACAAAACGAATTACGGATAAAATAAATTTATTCCTAAACTTGAGGGTGTGAGTGTGAATGATTGAAATACTCACACCCACACCCTAGAGAAACTGTATCTTGACCACAATCGTGTATCCGATATGGGTGCACAGTTGTTGGCATAAGCAATCTCGACGAACAACACGAATCTGAGAGTACTTTATCTTAGCTCCAATAGGGTAGGGTGTGGGTGTAGGTGTGGGGTGGATGTGGGATGTGAGTGGGGTGGGTGTGGAGTGAGAATGTGGTTGTCGGTGTGGTGGGTGTGGGTATGGGTGTAGATTGAGAGATGAGCCACACCAACACCCAAACCCACATCCACACATCCACACCCACACCCACCCACACCGATCCCTACACCTCCCACCCACATCACACCCGCTTCCAACAGTTCCACCTGTCAGGACTCGTGGAATTGCAACTGTCAGTAACGCGAACAAACGGTAATATACGCTACGATCGTATTGTTCTTGTGCATATGAGTGCACGTAGCTAGTTGGCTATTCGCACTGGGGTATAGATAGCCAGTCGGCTCTATGCACTTGAGTGCATATGGACGCCTTGTAGAAAAGCTATATCTGAGCGAACAGTCCCATGCAGCATTGGTTCTTTTTTGTGATAGATACAAATTCCTACATGTTGGGTAGAGCAAACACCTGTGTAGGTTAAGAGCAAAGAACTTCTTAACTGGCTGCGTCTACTACCGGCAAATATCCATAGCTTGGGTCACAAAATAACACCTTTATATCGGCGTTGCGATGTGGAGGCCCCAAGCGCTCTCGAAGAGCCCCGACTCAAACTCGTCTCTGTGTACACGGTCCAGTCTATTTATCGTTGCTTCGTAATATCATCGGAAAGGGTACACAAGCAAGCGTACTTATAAGGAGAAGCTACAGTCACAGTCCATACCCCACCCCATCATAACAGCCCTAGCCTCAATTATAAATTCGAATTCAAACAAAATTTTATCTTTTGCTTTTTTTGCCATAATTATATGAAAGCCTTAGATTTTTTCGGAAGTTTCGTTTATATTCGAACTCGAATTAGGCAGCTACTCACATCCACATTCACACCCACAGCCACTCATGCTCACATCCAGCCATCTCCACCTGAGACGGTCTTGCGCTAGCATATTTATTTTCACTGCTTTTTCTTTTTTTCCTTCTCTATCCTGTTTTGATACTCACTGTTTTTGGCTTACCATGTAGCGTGGAATGAAAAACCAAACACCCATCATCACACGGCCATTCTTGCTGTAAAATCACTTCAGCGTGCAACAATGTTATTCTCGAGCAAAGCAAGAAATCGAGTCGAATTGAGTCGCGGGTGTTGGTGTGAGTTTTCGTCTTCAAGTGAAGAGCAGGTTGTGAGGAATGGATTTGAACTCCTGCGCGTGTGAGCAGATAACATCCCTACATCCACAACAAGACCCATTGCATACACACTCACACTCTCTTGTGCGGGATTTTAAACGCATTCAGATTGATCTTTTGTTCGCATAATGTGCCATTTAAATAAAAAAAGCACATTTCCAGCCATTATTGAACAAGTATATCCATAAATTTCATCTGAATTCCGAACTATGGCGAAAACAACGAGTTTTGATGAATAACTTCAAATAAAACATTTTTAAATAAAATCAATTAAGAACAAACCTTGATGGTGGGGTGCGGGTGTGTTGGTTTCATTCGGCGATCCACACCCACCACTTCGACAAACTTAATTCTGTATTTATTTTTATTTGCAAGCACACTATTTAGCAAATATTTCAGTTCGACCAAGATCGGTTGCTGGAAAGCAAGATTGAGAATAATTAGCAGATTAAACTTGTCTTTTTCACTAAAAGACGGATCGATCTGTTTTTTCGACTGATTTTTCCTCACCCTCAAGATGTTCGTCAAAATCGAGAGTAATCGAAAGCGACTTTGCATATACTTAGTTCCTATTGAAAGTTCAATTTATTGTTTCCGATTAAAACGTACAAGATTACATAAAACAAAAAAAATAAGAAGTAATGATATGGTTGTCAATTTAGAAAAATGAATATTTGTTGATAATATTGATCACGTTTCAAGGAGGCACATTTTACGAAGAGTAGGATTTTCTTTGCATCTGAAACAAAAAAAGCTTGTTAGCGCAGCCCCTTTGGGGCTAAAATGTCGAGCTCACGTATGTTCTTCGGCTTCATTATACTAATATGAAACGTAGAAAGTATAAAATCAAGAATTTCTAAGTTTTTTAATGTTCTGACAGATACCCTTATTTTTCATTTTCATTGTTGCTATTCGTTCACTATTTTTCATTTCTCACAATTTTTCTTTTATTATAATCATTGAATTAATTGGCAAATACGTCTGTTTTACATATCGATTATATCTACAGCAGATCTTATGCACTGTTATATATATATATATTAATCAACTCACAAATAATGACGTTGCTTATCTTTCAAAATTATAACTTGATCGATTTTGCAAAAAAACTATAGAAAGTCTGACGCCTGTTATTCTCGATTGCTAAGTGTCTGTAATGGGAAGAGGGGGAGCCGCCAAAATTTGAACTTAAAACTTACACTCACTATTTTCTTCGAAAATATATGTGAGTTCCACAAAAAAATTAAATGAAAAAGAAAGAAAAACAATTATTCCATCTACCCTTTGATAAACTGTTCCTTGGTTATCTTTGAGTCATCTTTAAGACTAAGCATTGCAAACACTTCTGAAGCCATTTGTTCCGCAGTTTTAGGATCTGCCTTTTTTCCCAACAAATAGATCTAAAATAAGATCATTTACTTACTTATTGCATTCTACACGAAAGAGACATTCGGATTAACTTACAACAGATTCAAAGGATTCTTTTAGTTCCTGATAATCCAAACATCCATCGTCGGATACATCATACCTAATCGATAATAGAGAAATAGTAGACTATCATCACACTTCGACATTCAATCGAACTAACCATTTAAAAAAAGAATCAACATTTGCCTCAACAGTATTCGGTCTCAGGAAAATCAATGCCAACACAAATTCTTTGAAATCAAGTGCTTCATCTTTATTTTTATCGAATGCAGCAAATACATTTCTATATACATAGCAATAAAGATTCAAATTATCGAACAGGTACACGAACATACTCGCAAGTCATTTCACCACGTACACCAAAATTACGGTTTATTTGATCATAGATTTCAAGGAATTGTTTCTTATTCATTTTACCTGATGGATGGCTTTTCAAGAAATTCTAAAATACATTCGAATGAGAATGGATAATGATAGTTCAAGTCACGCATAATCTATCATTACCTTATACCTTTCCTTTATGCCTACAGAAGAACAAACAAAGTTATATAAACACAAAACAAATTATCTTTCTGCTTACTATCTGCATCGAAATTCGTAACTTTTTCTATATCAGCAATTTCTAAAGTCACAACGAATTAATCAGTAGTTCAACGCATAATGAAAAGTATTCAATCGATGAACAAACCTTCGTCTGTCAACGTTTTAGATTTGAGAACAAATCGATTGCCCATGATGAATAGAAATGTGAATCGATCGAAAAAGTTTTCTCAATAAACGTACGCACAACTAAGGACAGACGGCAAACGGAACAGCAAAATAAAATGTTACGATTATGCGATATAAATAACCATAAGAGAACGAAAGAA